AGCCTGCAGTGGAGATGGCTGAGGGTGCGGGCAAGGCTGGAAGGCTCCAACAGGACTGAGGTCTTTTTCCCTTTGGCTATGGTTGATGTCTCTGCCACCAAGGCCTATGATGAAACACATTGCCCTCATGGCACTGGAGCCTCATTTCCTCCTTGAATGCCCCAGAGAGGCTGGGAGGTGTCATACCTTTGACCACCACTTGACATCACAAAGCCCATATCCTACTGCCCCAGGAAGAACCCTGAGCCGTGCAGGAGGGACAGGATCTCCCTTCCCCAAGTGGGGCGGTGGTCAGGGCTTGGTGTTTTGCTTGATAACTACATCAAGGCTTTACTCAGCAACAGAGCCACCTGCACAGTGCCTCTGCCTGCCTCTCATAACTGCCTGCAATCTTCTGCACTAACAAGTCCATGAGGAGGATTTGTCAGTAATGGCCCTCTATGGGGCCAATTAATACTCCAAGAAACTTCAGCGTTTCCCTCTGACTTTGCCTTCTCAAGTAGTTTGTTCAATCTCCTCTCAGTATCTGAGATTCATCAACTTAGGGCCAAATGCACCATGGGGCTCATTACAGTCCTGTAATATTCTTTAAGTCTTCAAGACTTGTACAGGTAATTGGAAAGGTTTTAGGGGAGTAATGAATGATGAAGATTTCAATTACCGTTTAATAAGAAAGGATTTTTGCTTTTTAAAGATATTTGTTTAATTTTTCACTTTACAGAAAAAGTGATAGCAGCATGCTCCAACTGATATTGATTCAGAGGGTCTCCTAAGCAGGTCTGGGTTGGCAGGAAAAGCAGTCTCCTTGAGGCCAGCCACTATATGAATAAACTTCCTCTTCACCTTCCCAACCCCACCATTTCTGTCATCTGTCCCCTGGGACTTGCATCACTTTTCCTTACATCAGATTTCTTCACTGAAGTCTGCAGCTTCAGCGGGATTTTACAGCTCCTTTGCACCAACTCCCCCCTGCTTTCCTCAGAGAACTGCCTGCACACTGGCACAGAAAGATTTATCTTCATTGTCAACAAACAAAAGTTACACACAATGTGATTTAATGAACAGTAAAACACTCCTCAACTGAATGCTAAGTTCGAGCTGCATGTAATGATGTCCATCTTCCACAAGGGACAGCTGTACAAGAATGATTTTAGACAGAAAGATAGAAAGGCTAGATGTAAACATAATGGAGTAGATTAAAAAGTAAATTGGGCTTCTGAGAGATAGTGCAAACTTCTAACTCTCTGAAGCTTGAAGTAGCAACTAGTTGGGAGGTGTCTAAATAAACAAAAAGGAAGGGGAAGAGGAAATCTGAACAGCAATGGGAAGGACATATGTCAGATAGTCTGCTGAAAAGATGCTCTCTTAAGCATGGTCCTTTAATCAGGGCAGGTGGGAACATCTGAAAGATGAGGTAGATTAAACATGCAGTGTAACAGCAGAGTACTAGTAGTGCAAGTACAAGGGGAGGTCAATATTTCTTCTCCTATGTTTCACTTCCTAGAAATTCCCATTCTGGCATGGTGGAAAAAAAATGCCATTTTATTAAAAGTACTCAATTGTTTCAACTGATGAAAATGTACCTGAACTTTTTTAAATATTGAAAGTAGTTGTTCCCCTTTCTAGGCAGACCTCAGTTATCTGACCGAAAGCATCCAATGCTGCTTTTCGGGGCCCCAGTGGACCTTAGGTGTTTTCCTGGGACTGGCAACAATCACAGAGGACCTGTGGGAGAGCAGAGGTCCTCAGGAGTTGCAGGTGGAGCCTGGGCAGACGGTCCCAGTGAACTGATGGCTGGTGCCAGGTGTCTCAGTTCCTGTAGCTGAAGACATTTGTGTCCCACATCAAGACCCAGTTCTGAAAATCTTTTTTTTTTTTTTTCCCCAAGAAAGAAAAAGGACACACAATCCCCACAAAGACCAATATATTAAAACAAGAAAAAACAAAACCAAAAATAATTTTAAAAGCTTTGATTTAGATCCTAGTCTTCAGTTCTCCTTTGTTTCATTTTTATTGACATTAATTAGTATATGTCAGGCTAATAGCATCAAGAAAAAAATATTTTGTGTGTTACCTAGAGCCCCATGCCCCCAAAACTGTCCCTGCCCAGGACTCACCATGATACTCCTCAGTCTTTGCAGAGAGCAAGTCACACTGAGATGTTGACCTCTCTTCACTGATTTAGATGTTGTTTTAGGTGGTCACATACAGCATAGGAAGATTCATGCCACATAAACATCTGCTCTGTACCCGTCAGAAATAGGGTCTGAGGGTCATAAGATAGCTCAGGTTGGAAGGGGCCTTGGCAGGTTAGTAATCCTACCTGTCAGGAACAGGGTCAGACCAGGTTTTTTAAGAAATGACCCAGCTGGATTTTTAAAACCTCCAAAGACAGAGACTGCATAACCTCTCTTGATGACCTGTACCAATGCTTGCCTGAGCTTATGGGGAAAAAAATTCCTTATGTCTAAAATTAAATTTTCCTTTTTCACCTTCCACCCATTGTATTTTATACTCTCAACAGACACCATGGTGAAGGGCCTGGCTCTTCATAACCTCCTAAAAGGTATTGGCAGGTTGCAATGAGGTCTTCCTCAGCCTTCCCATCTCCAGATGGACACTCAGCTCTCTCAAAATTCCCTCACAAACCAAGTTCTCCAGCCCTCTACCATCTTGGGCCCTTCACTAGATCCACTCCAGTTTGCCCGTGTCTTTTCCATATTGAGGATATGAAATCTGTATGCAGTAACCTGGATTATCCCCTCCCTCAATCTCCTGGCTGTTCCCCTGGTCATATAGGTCAGGATACTGCTCATGTCCCTTGCTGCCAGGGCACATGACTGCCTCCTGTCCAGCTTGCTGCCCAACAAGACTCTTCCACAGGATGCTCCCAGTCAATGAAATTTCCAGGCTTAGTTCCCTGTGTGGGCAGAAACTAGCCATTGCATTTGTTAGATTTCATGAGGTTCCTGCCAATACAGAGTGTCCTCTTCCTTGAACCCTTTCACTGAGCCCAGAGGCCCAGAGACCTTTTCAGTAAAGGCTCAGGCAAAGCATGCATTAAGTCCCTCAGCCCCACCTGTGTCTGCTGTTACTAAATCACCCTCCCCATTCAGCAGCAGTCCTACATTTTCCCTGTTCAGTCTTGGTCTCCAACAAGTGATTGAAGCTCTTCTTTTTGCTCTTGACTTTTCTTGCAGACGCCAACTCCAGGTGAGCTTTGCCTTTCCCAAAATCATATCTGCACAGCAAAGGCAATGCACATAAATTCCTTGTACATCCTGCCCTTGTTGTAACCTCCTGGCAGCTGCTTTGTTGCCCCTGTCAGTGCCCTGTACTGCTTCACTGCCCCACATATCATCCCACAGCCCCATTGCGCAGGCTTAGCACGGGACAGGCTGTGTTCAGGAGTGTGGGAAGGTCCCCTCATTACAATACCAACAACAGTCCTCAGTTCCTTGTCCCCCCATAAGCATCCTACTTTTGCAGCTTTCCCCAGTGATCAGGACCTGCCCTGCCCTGGCTGTGTTCCACGTGAGTCTTTGAAGACAGCCATGGTCCACGATCTGCTGTGGTCTGGGCCAAGAGAGAGGCTGGGCAGGTATGGCCATTCTCCTGATGCAGGTGCTGAACCCAGCAGAAGGATGGAGATAGCCTCACAGCAAGACTCACCTAAAAACCTAGGGTGAGTGAACACAGATGGAAATTACCAGTGTGAGAGGCTGGAGGTGCGAAATGCCCTAGACCAAGTTCCCAGTCTATCCATGTATCCAGACTGGCCTACTCTTTTGTGCACCTGCATATCAGCTCCTTTCCATAAGCCCTGGCTCTGCACCACAAACCCACTGGCACGTGTGCTCACCCTGCATGGTCACGCAACTGAGCTACCTTTGGTGTTTTCCTCTCCTGGGAACTGCCCAGCCCAGCCCACTCCCTACCTTGCTCTCCCCTCCTCCCCTGCCTTCTCCCCAGCCTAGCACAGCAGTGCAGTCTGGGGTGGTCCCACAGCAATGCCCACTACAGGGTGCTGCAGAGCTCTGGGCATTCACACCAGAGCCCCAACCCTTCTGAAGGGCACAGCAGCTCCTGGGGGGCAGAGAGGGGTATCATTCCCACATCACCCCCAAGCTGGGGAATGGCCATGATATGAGGAAGTGGAGGCCAATGTTTCCCTTGGTTCTCCTGGCTCCAGGAGATCCTTATTACCCACTGATGGCAGCCCCTCTGCGCCAGCCCATCTCACCAGCACAAGACTCCTAAGGCTGCTCATACTGTCCCAGCAACGGAGCAGCCGACCCCGAGCTGGTGCATGCAGAAATAGGTTTTTCTTTGTCATTTATTTCCTTGTGGAAGCACAGAGTTGTCCCTGTGTTCTGCCCCAGGGATGTCCCTGCCACCAGAGAGTCTTTCCATAGGGAAGTGTGTCCATGTTGGCCTGGCTGGCCCCTCTTGCCCCCTGTCTGTGTTCACTGCAGGGTCCGGAGCTGGTGGTGCTGCTCGCCAGAGCGAGCAGGCTGTGGTGCCTGAAAGCCACAGGAAGACAATCATAGGCAGATCCCTTTTGATCATTCACCCTGTCCAGGAGTGCCAGACACCCACATGTGAAGGCTCAGTCCAGACCTCCTTCCCCACCACGTTGCCCTCTGCCCTCCTCTCCTGAGCCCATGGAGAACCCAAATGCAGCAGCACAGCCTCATGAGGCACAATTTCTTCAGACTTTTTTTCACTCCATCTTTGGAAGAAGAGCCCAACCTCCAGACATGATCACTGGGGAAATCCCTTTTTATTACAGAGTTGTGACATGGGAGGCCAGCTGTACTATCATACCAGACACGTGTACAAGGGCCTCTGTATCAAGCCAATTTGGTTCATGACTCTGGAAAAGTGCAATGAATGCAGACATTCCTAGAAAAACAAGATTATTACAGACAAAAGGTGAAAAGCACAGGAAATTCCCAAGATAAGTTGGAAATCACTTCAGAAAAGTCATGGGCAGCTTATCACTGCTGAAAGATAACTGATTGAATCAGCTTCTTCAGTGCATCTTTGAGCTCCTGGTTCCTCATGCTGTAGATGAGGGGGTTCATTGCTGGAGGCACCACTGAGTACAGGACTGTCACCACCAGATCCAGGGATGGGGAGGAGATGGAAGAGGGCTTAAGGTAGGCAATCATGGCAGTGCTAGCAAACAGGGAGATGATGGCCAGATGAGGGAGGCACGTGGAAAAGGCTTTGTGCCGTCCCTGCTCAGAGGGGATCCGCAGCACAGCCCTGAAGATCTGCACATACGACAGCACGATGAAAACAAAACACCCTAAAGCTACAGAAAGACTAACCACAAGAAGCCCAACTTCCCTGAGGTAGGAGTCTGAGCAGGAGAGTTTGAGGATCAGGGGGATTTCACAGAAGAACTGGGCCACAGCATTGCCTTGGCAGAGCGGTAGTGAAAACGTATTGGCAGTGTGAAGCACAGCATTGAGAAACCCACTGCCCCAGGCAGCTGCTGCCATTTTGGCACAAGCTCTGCTGCCCAGGATGGTCCCATAGTGCAGTGGTTTGCAGATGGCAACATAGCGGTCGTAGGCCATGACAGTGAGAAGACAATACTCCCCTACAATCAAGAAGAGAAAGCAAAAGACCTGGACAGCACATCCTGAGTAAGAGATGGTCCTTGTTTCCCAGAGGGAATTAGCCATGGATTTGGGGACAATGGTGGAGATGGAGCCCAGATCAAGGAGGGAGAGGTTGAGGAGGAAGAAGTACATGGGAGTATGAAGGTGGTCATCACAGGCTACAGCTGTGATGATGAGGCTGTTGCCCAGGAGGGCAGCCAGGTAGATGCCCAGGAAAAGCCAGAAGTGCAACAGCTGCATCTCCCGCGTGTCTGCAAATGCCAGGAGGAGGAACTGGGTGATGGAGCTGCCGTTGGACATTTGGTCCCTCCAGAACCCAGGTGCTGTCCAAGGAGGAAAAGATATTGACAATTTAGGGCAGGCTTCTCTGAGAAAATCTCTTGTTTCTTACAGAAAACTCCCATATCACCTTTCTTCTTTCTCAAGACTCCCTTCATTTTTCTTCCTCCCTTAAGTTCTGATTTGCTCTGGCTGAGTGTTGCACGAGGAGCAGAGGCCTCAACTGATGGGCTCCCCAGGAGTAAGACCTGCTCTCCTGCAGTTTGTACACTGGAGTGGCAAAAAGCTCCATATATCGAGGAGTTCACTGAGGATGGACACCCTGGGCTGAGTGCAGGAGCCTGGATGCAGTGACCCTGTGAGAACAGTCTTCATGTCCTGCAGGGAGAGATTAAATTATCTCTTGGGCCACCTGCCTCTAGAAAAGTGCCCTGGGAAGGATTGCTCTTTTCTGGTTTTACCCTTCTAAGCATAAGTGTCCAGGTCTGGTTCAGCCACCACTGAGACATACACTACCCATCTATCAATTTACCGCCCTGCATCTGCAAGCACGTTCACAAGAGAGCAGCAGGTCAGCAGGTATGGACTATCACTATGTGCACATCCTCCCTCAGGAGAGGTTCATCCATTATGGAGGAAGACTGTTCAGCATCTTCCCACCCCGTGCTCCAGATGATGGGCTGTAGCACAGCGATATAGTGATACACTTCCTTCAGTTTTAGATGCCTTGGTCACATTGGGGGAGTATTCATTGAAGGGGTAAAATTCCTCAGCTTCTGGATTGCTCTTAGCATGAACACTAATAAGCTATGAGAGGCAAAAGGATTCCCTGTGCCTTAGTGCAGAGTCAGGAGAGCCTGAGTCATCCCCAGAGTGCCTGAAAACAATAACAGCAGCAGCACGGGCAGGTGGAGAAACATGGAGAAGTACCATGATGCAAGGAAGGCAAAGAGGCAAACGTTCCTGAGAATCATTACCTTACCCAGCTGTGCACACTTCCCCAGACATCGGCACTGTGGGGCAGTCACTAAGCCCTCTGTCATGCAGGAGGAAACAGGCATGTGTAAGGAGAAAGGCACCTCTCCTCTGATAAAGCTCTGGCAGCAGAGGAGGGGGCTCATGCCCTGGCCACCCCCATCGTCATGGTGGAAGCTGTTGTGGGTGAGAGAGTGGACCAGGGGCCTTCCTCAGGGGAGGAACTGGCAGAGAATTGCCCAAATCCATCCACCACAGCAGTTTATTCTCCTCGCCTGATATACCTCTTCCACCTGGAGCTGTTTGTACCTGTAGCTGTTTCTCTGTCTTTTCCCATCACACTCACTCTGCACTCAGCTCTGCCCTGCAGAAAACTCCCAGCTGCAGGGCACTGCCCAGGGGCACCTCTGTTTCTGTAGGAGCTAAGGAGCAGGTTGCAGAAATCCTGATCTGTTTGTAAAAGGGAGGTTGTGGCTGGGGGCAGCTGGGTGCTTTGAGGTGCTTCTGCCAGATTTACTCATCTCTCAGTGTAAGAGATGGGGAGTCTCAAAGCCTACTCTAGAGTGGAAACAAGAGTACCAACCTCCAGCTCAAAACTCAGACAACCATGCAGAGAATCAGGAAAGCTTCTTCTCTTTCCAGTTGCCCCTACCTTGATGTGTTTCTTCAAAAAGTCCCCTCAAAAGTGTCCTGGGGGTGATCTGGAGCCATGAGCAGCCCTGATTCCATGCCGCACTCCCCTAAAAGCAGAAGGACCCAGCCTTCCTCCCACATATTCTCCCCACAGCACCATGGGGAGCTCCCTGGACAAGCTGAGTGCTAACCCTGGCAGGCAGCAGAGTTCCTGCCCCAGCACACAGCTCTCTGGGGTGCACAGACCCTACTCTGAAGGACAGCCCTGGGCATGCCTGGGTTGACACCTGACTGCACACCCCTGCAGCCATCCCCAGGAGAAAGGAGCCGTTGTGCCCTGTCCCTCTGACAGTGCAGAAGGGAAACCTTGCTCTGGAGCATGTCGTCCTCCACACTAAGAAAACCCTGAGACCCACCCTGCCAGATTGTATCTGCCTGGGGATGTGCCACCTCTAGGACACCCTTCTGGGTTACTTACGTGCCTTGCCCTGCTGCCAGAGACTTACCATGTGAAAGGCTGAAAAGATTTATCCTCCAGTGATCTCTCCTCTGTCTTTCTACCCCAGGATCCCTTCTCTCCCTGATCGTGTCCCCTTGGTAACACCCATTCAGTTCTCTCAGCCCTGTTGCCTTTTGCAGAGGAGATGGTCCAAGGCAGAGCTGTCTCTCTACAGGGCTGCCAAGTTGCCATAAGCTCCCTCCATCCCAGGAGCCCCTCCCAGCTCAGGAGCCCCAGCCCAAGGCATCACCTTCTCTGCCCCCTCTGGGCTCCTTGAGGGGTCCCTGGGGCTCCAGGAGAACCCGCTGTAAAGAGGTTGAAGTAATCACTGATGTTCCCTCCCTCATCTGAGGAGAGACACTTATTTCCAGCAGTGTAATCTCTCCTATCAAAGACAGAGTTAGGTCCAAGAATCAACTTTTCTTGTCTTATGATTAGACAGTGACAAGGAGGGATCTCCTTTAATTGTGCTGAGGGAAAGGATTCAGCTGAGTCAATCAACGTATCTCATCCAGGGTTTGTAGTCCTGGAGCTGCAAGGGCACTCAGCTCCCACCAACACCTGTCACAAACCCACAGGAGGGGAGTTTCCACTTGCCTCAATTCAGTTGTGCACAAAATGGGCACCTGCACGTGTGTTGCTTGTCTCAGCTCCCATGCTAATTAATGGATGTTGAGATCAGGAGTGAGTTGTTGAGATGCAAACACTTGGTAACATTTGAGGGGTAGGACATGGTTCAAAATATGTGCAGGTAGCTGCAAGCTCTAATGGAGCAATTCTGAGGGATGAGGCTGATGAGAAATCCCTTTGCCCCAGTGAAATGACAGCAGATGCCCATGTTTAGTTCAAGCAAACCTGTCCTGAATCCTTATTATGAACATATTCCTTATGTTCAGGCAGCAGATAGAGGTATTCACCTGACCAAATTGAGTCATGTGCCAGAGAGACAGAGTGCTCAGTCTCTCCCCTTCTTTTCTCCATTAGCTGTATTTAGTAGATGTCCAGTGACTATAATGGCAGTAGTCCCATGGAAACCCCTGCATTGCTTCACCTAATCCAGTCCAGCTGCTGAATATATTAGCCAAATACAGTCCTGCAGTGCTATTTCAGATATGAAAACCATCCACCACAACTGGAGCACACAGCTGACAAGGGCAGCGCAGAACTTATGGACAGAGATCCCTATTCAGAGCACAAACAATACCACAGGTCATCTCAGACAGATTTGGTGCTTATGAGCAAGTGATGGATTCCCACAACTGCCATGAGGCAAGGCCTACCCCATCCCTATCCAGTAGGTACTGGCAGTGCTTCTCCCACATGCTTTAGTCATCCCCTGGATGATACAATCAAGGAATAGGCCAATGGTTTCCACAGTGTTTCTGGGTCAGAGGACCTTTATACTCAAGGATGTTTTGAACAGCACCTTGTCCTTCCTGGAGATCATCTTCACCTCCATCACAGACCCTCTGGGCCTGCAGAGACATCACAGAGTGCAAAACCTATTTCTCTCTGTCCTGGTGGACAGCAGGGTTTGCTGTCTTTGTGCACACCTTATTTCAGCTGTACATTGTCATCTATCCCAGTATGTCTTTGCTCTGAAACAAAGTCTTTGTTTATGCATGGTATTGGGCACTTGGTAGCAGTCTTTTCCATGGCAAGTGAGAGCTTGGCCCTGGTGCCAAAGCTGAGGTATAACAGTGTCTTTAGCCAGAGGCACAGACAGGAGGAGCTGGAACCCTCTGTTCCATCACAGAGCTTTGACATTGACGGAATAACAGCCAAGGCACGGGAGGAGAGTTTGCACAACTCATGGTCTGTAATGGATAGGTATAGGAGAGAAAGGCTGGGAAGATCAATCAGGATGTGTATGGGCAGTCTCTATGGGATGTGTAACAGTCTGGGTGAGCCTTTGTGGTAAGCGTCAGAGGACAGGCCAGTTAGGGCAGCATTGTGAGAGTTAAGGGTCTCAAAGGAGACCTTATAGCCCCTTCCAGTACCTAAAGAGGGCCTACAGGAGAGATGGGGAGGAACTCTTTATCAGGGAGTGTAGTGATAGAATGAAGGGTAACTGTTTTAAAATGAAAGAGGGTAGATTAGGTTAGATATTAGGAAGAAATTCTTTCCTGTGTGGGTGGTGAGACAGTGGCACAGGCTACCCAGAGAAGTTGTGGAGGCCTCATCCCTGGATGTGTTCAAGGCCAGGTTGGATGGGGCTTTAAGCAACCTGGTCTAGTGGAAGGCTGTAAACAGAATTAACACAAAGCCTCTGACTTGGGCACTATCAAGTACTATCTTGCTAAAGAGAGGGAGATGGAGGGACCTCAGACCCTCTAGGCTGCTGTTGGAGGCATCACAGAAAGGAACAAAAGATAGCAGTTTTGAATTAGCACAGCCTTTAGATCATTTTGCATGTGATGGCTCTTTCCCCCCCTTGCGGTCATTGCCACCCAGAAACCTCATCTGCTTTTACTTCCTCTCTTCCCAAAACCTGAGGAAGTGACAGAAAGAAAGGAAGCAGAAAGGCCTGAGGTCTCTGTGAATCAGCTGGGGTCTGACACTTGGATGGCGACAGTGTCATTTCATTGTACATCCGATAAAGGATCAAGCTGGGAGGAAGCAAGTCTACAAGTCTGAATCAACAAGGACAGGCAAGGCTGTGCCTATGGCTTGGGCTCGAAGCCACTATACCTACAGCATTGGTCAAACTGGGGCTGAAACTCAGGCCTGGCTTTAATGGTCTCCTGGGGCCATGGACAGAGGTGTGGGTGGAGGCCCCAGGTCAAGCTGCTTAGGGTCATTAAAGCCTGTGAATGCTTTCAGGACTCTGACTCTGCCCCCATGGGATCCTACCTGACAGTACCATCAGTAGGCAAAATTCTCATTCCCTGCAGTTCTGTGTTCTACTGCTTCC